TCTTTTTCTTTTTCAGGTTTATACATACATTTTTGTTCTATTCATCTCTCTCTCTCTCTCTCTCTCTCTCTCTCTCTCTCTCTCTCTCTCTCTCTCTTTCTCTCTCCTCACTATCTCTCTTGACCTTAGGATATCTTGATGTGAGAGAACATTGTTCCTAACATTTCTGTTTCACTTCAATAATCTTTTGCTTTTTCCTTCATTCTTTTTCTCCTGCCCTCTTCTCCAGCTTCCCAAAGCTTGCATGATCATCCCTTGTCCTCCAGCCTTACTTTGATGGTATTTCTCTTCAACTCTTTCTCTCTGTTTTGTCCCCTATAACTCTTAAATTTCCCCACAACAGAGTAAAATCACTCTACTAAGGGAAAACTCATTGCATACAAGTTCCTGACGTATGTTGGATTCTGTTATATAACTATAGATCTTTCCTCTATGGCTAAAGATACCAAACCAAGAGTTGCCACAGTTTGTCAGATTCTAGGTTGTGCATGATGCTATTGTTATTGCTAGTTGTAATACTTTAGCCAGTATGTCATACTTGTAACTAGTTGTTCTCCCTTCTATAAAAATACTGTGACTGTCTGGGGTTATAAACATCACCATAGTCCAGTATGAAAGGATTGGGGACTGAGCAAGATAGATGGCAATATCTAATCCTTAATAAATTGAGGAGGTAGGATCTTGGGACAGATACAAAATCCAAGAACCTCCTACACATAGAAGACACCTCTGAAGAACACATTTTCTAGGGAGGCCTTGATACTAGTGATAAAACTACCTACTACAAGAAATGTACAGATATCAACACAGAAAAAAAGTTAAATTAAATTTAAAAATAGGAAAGGACAAGACACAGAAGCAAAACCCATCCCCAGACCTCAAGCCCACCCAAGACAAGTCCAAAGGACAATGAGGTAGAAGAAAATGGAGGCCACCAATACGAAATTTCTGAAATGACACAGCAGAAGTTCAAAAAAAAGGCTCATGAGATTACAGAGGAAATCAGATCAGAAATATTTTCCCAAGTAAAAAAGAGATGATGACCATAATGAAAAACTTACTCAGCAAGTCTAGAGTAGACACAGATTTTTTTAAAAAATAGAGGCACATAGGAAAATGATGGACACTATAAATGTCCAACACAGAAAAGAAATGGAATCCATGAAACAGATTCAAACAGATATGCAGGAAATTAAAAATTCCATTCAAAGTTTGCAAAATTGCCTGAACAAAAATGAAGACAGAATTTCAGACCTAGAAGACAGGATTGTGGCTAGCAATCATGAAAAGAAAGATCTTTAAAAATATCAAGGGACCATGAAAAAATAATCCAAAGCAGGGGCTGGGGATTTAGCTCAGCAGCATAGAGCCTGCCTGGCAAGTGCAAGGTCGTAAGTTCTATTCCCAGTACCAGAAAAAAAAAGCTGCAAGAGGATGCAAAGAAGAATAATATAAGATTGATTGGAGTCAATGAAAAAGCAGGAGCCAATACAAACAACATTAAAAAAATACTGTTCACAGAAGTAATGGCAGAAAACTTCCCAAGTGTGGAAAATGAATCTGACATTCAATAAGTGAGGCATACAGAACTCCAATTAGCCATGACCAAAATAAATCTACACCAAGGCATATTAAAATCAAGATTCCAGAAATTCAACACAAGAACAGCATATTAAAAGCTGTTAGAGAAATAAAACACCTATAAAGGAAAGCCCATCAGAATTACAGCAGAATTCTCAACACAAAACCTAAAATCAAGGGTAGCTTCAGGTGAAGCATTTCAAGTTCTAAAAAAAAAAACCTCCAACCCAGATTGATATACCCTGTAAAACTGCCTTTCAGAATGAAAAGAGAAACAAGATATTTCCATGACAAGAACAACTGAAGACATTTGAGACCACAAAACCAACTCTCCAATGTGTACTGAAACATATTGTAGAGAGGGATAACAATGTGCACAAATCCAAGAGCACAAATATGAAGAAGCTACCAGGGAGGGCAAGCAATTAAGCAGGGAGGAAAAGACAAAGAACTAACAGCAAATAATAGGATATCTGATCAAGGATAAGTCAATACATGTCAGTTATAACCATCAATGTATATGGTCTCGATCCACCAATCAAAAGAAACAGACTGGAAGAATGGATCAAGAAACAAGAGCCAACATTATGCTGCATAAAAGAAACACATTTAACTCAAAAAGAAATTCATAGACTGAAAATCA